GGACCGGGGTACATAAGTTACCAGGTCCGGCATGTTTGAGTTATCATGTTATTTGCACAGAAGTTACCGTGGTATGTTTCAACAACTCCCTCACCCTCACCCTCGCCGACAAAGTTTTTAGGACCGGGGTACATAAGTTATCAGGTCTATGAAATTTGACTTACCATGTTATTCACACGAAAGTTAACGAAGGATATTTTATCACCCCCCCCCCCTTCGGTAAAGTTACCAGGAACGGGGTACCTAAGCGCGGAAAAAATCGAACACTAAATTAACTCGTTTTTATGCATACGTAGTAGAGGAAACATGTTAAATAGCCCATTTACTTTCTTTTGTTCAAGAAAGGGATCGTAGGTCAGATGGTAGGCTAGTTGAGTTGGCTCACTAATGGTGCAAGGATCGAATCCTCTCTTGTTCACACCAATTTTTGTGTGCGTGCATGCAACAGAGAAAACAAAAGGAAACTGTGGCGCTCGGGAGGCTTTCGTGGGATCGTTCGATGCGCATCCGACGACAATCAAAGCGTGTGTGCCTATCGCTAACGAACAGTCGGCAGGAATCTTTTTGTCAAACAAAACCTATGACGATATTTGTACATAAGCTATCAAGTTTGTGGTACATATAATTATCAATCTCATTACAAAAGAATTTACCGAGATATGACAAACGAGAAGACCGTTGTTCAAATTCTATAGGAGTGAAACATTTATTTCTTTAGAAAACATTCATCACTACAAAAAAAGACAAATGGAGTAAAAAACACGTTGCACCGGCCCTTTAAAAAACTTGGAGCAAATGGTTTTGTCTCCTCATCAAAGGCGTTGTGGTCATTTTTTCTCGCTCTTATTTACCAAGGTAGAAATACAGATTAACCCGCACATGAAACACAGCAAGTAGTCAGCTCAGCTGGTAATGAGTCATGACCACGACCAACAGGTTGTGTGTTTGAATCCTAGCAGTGGCACTAAAGAAAGATCGAAGAGAAAAAAAGCAATCGTACGTGCCTGGCGCTAACTAACAGTCGGCAGGAAAATAGCTTTCCCCTTCAATATATTCACTTTCAATCATGACAGTACAACGACACTAAAAATAACTGAAGAATTTAACTACTAGAAATTTTTATTTTTGGGTGAGAAATGGAGAATTTAACTAGCGAACACACAGCGAATTTGCGATGTAGGCCCAGTGCTTTTCAATTAGACCGGACACACAAAATGATATGCCACATCAGTCCGTAACTAGAAAGTCCATTGTTGGTGGTCCATGTGTACTGGTAGGAACGCCTTCACCGGCCACTGATGCTGCTGCTCAGCACCAAAGTTCCCGAAGTCGAAGGATTAGTCGGCGGCCCATAGGTCGCCACCGGCATCTTTGCCGGGAGGCTCGGCAATGGCGCTTCGAACCGCAGCACGTTCATCGCTTGCCTGATGGATGGCCGCATGCCACGGTCAGGATGCGCACACCAGAGCCCCACGACCATAACACCCTCCATCTCCGCACCATCAAATTCCCCCCTAAGCCGCTGGTCGGCGGCGGCACGGATTGATCCTCCGCCGTACAAGTCCCACACCCATGACACCAGGTGGACGGCACCACCGTCTTCCTGGACTAGAGCTGGCCGCCGACCACATGCGACCTCGAGGAGGAGGACCCCGAAGCTGTACACATCCGACTCGACGCTCGCTGTGCCGGCCAGCACGCTCTCCGGGTCGATGTACCCCATCGTGCCGGCTGTGTCAGTCATGTACGATATCTGGCCATCATTGATGAGCCGCGCGAGCCCGAAGTCGCCGAGCTTGGCGGTGAAGGAGGCATCTAGCATGATGTTGCTTGGCTTGATGTCCCTGTGCACCACACGCTGCTCCGTGTCTTGATGCAAGTACATAAGTGCGGAACCTATGCCGAGCACTATCTCGTACCTAGTATGGCAGAGAATGAGAGAAGTGAGGAATTGCTTCTTTATTTTGACAAGGAGTGAGGAATCCCTTATAAGTACCAAATTATTGTGCTAAGTTTTGTTCAAACGATTGATTAACTAGAAAGTAGCAACATACTTTTTTTTTTGCGACGAAAAATAGCAACATACCTAACAGGCCATGTCAGCACGTAGTCGGATCTGTACAAATGAGTGTCGAGGCTGCCATTATGCATCAGCTCGTAGACAAGGAGGAGCTCATCGCCGCCATGGCACCAGCCGTTGAGCTGCACGAGGTTGCGGTGCCTGAGCCGACTAATGATCCGCACCTCCGAGAGGAACTCCTTCCAGCCCTGACGAGATGTCTCTGACACCTTCTTGACAGCCACTTCGCGGTTCATGTCGCTCATAAACCCTCGGTACACAGACCCAAAGCCTCCTCTCCCGAGCGCCCTGTCATTGGAGAAATTATCCGTCGCTGCAGCGAGCTCCTCGAAAGAAAATCGTCGGGGCCCAGAGAGTCCTTGGTCGAGCTCGCCATCGACAAGTTCGCCGCGAAATAGTGTTGTCAACGCTTTCAACGATTGTTTGGTTTTCTTCATGTTACTGCGCCTTCGACGGTGACAGCAGAGGCAGAGGCAGACACAAGAAATTATGCAAAGAGCAAGTATGAGCACGACCAAAGCCCATGTTACCAACACGGCCCCGACGATCGCCTTTGCCCATGTTGGATCTGCATGGAAAGCATGGAATCGATGATGAAAGACAAACATGCGAGAAAGTATCATTTTAGTTATTTACAGGGCCTTGTCTAACACTTACGGAGAGAATTGGTCTCCCTGGGATGATCACCACGATAGTCTTGATTTAACATAATGTCTTCAAAGTTTTTGAACACTTTCATTTTTTTTGTCAAGTTTTGACAAATAAGGGGTTGAATATGTATTCTTCTTGTATTTTTTAATCCGTTTGGCAAAAATAACTGAAACTTTTCTAGAATGATAATCATGGCAGTGTTGATTTTAGAGAATTATTTCAAAATTCTGGATACTTTCATTATTTTTGCAATACTTGGTGACATGACAATTGACTAGGCGGCTGACTGGGTGGTCAACTAGTCAAAATCACTTCAACCCATCAAAAACTGGTTTGAGAAGAGGGCGGGGTTGAAACTTGACTTGTTTTGACATTTCGTAGTTGTGACGTAGATGGTTACATAGTTCAGACTTGATTCTTAAACATTTGTGATAGCTTAGGGTTGAATTATGGACTTCTTTTTTGTTATAGGTTTTTGTCTTATACCAATATTGAGTGCCAAAACTCAAAACCAAAAGCTATAAATAAATGATTCTTTTTTCGTGTGTTTCCAGGTTTGATTCTTTCTATCTCTAGATCTATACTTCTGTTCGTCGGGGGTGGTTACTGTTATGGTGCGCTAATTCTGTGAGGCCTTATCGTTACAATTTCCTAACTGCCTATTATAATAAGTTTGGTCTGGCTCCAGTGGGGAGGGACGATGATGGTGGCACGCTTTCTATAGATATTATTTTTGTGTTCTTTGTACACTCATGACCACTATTCAAGAATCCGTTCGATTAATCAGTTAACGGGCCAGTTAATCGTTACTCGCAGGATGACCGCATTGATTAACACCTATTCATCGTGTTAACTTGTTAGGCTGATTAATTGGCTAGTTAGACCCATTAATCGTGGTTGTTAGGCCGATTAATCGCTGATGACCCATTAATTTCTGAAATTTTCCCCCTGTAACCCCTTCCACCCCCTTCTCGCTCCTCGGTAGCTAGGGATCGACCAAATAGTAGCATATTTTGGTATTACATAGTTGAGAGCATGAGAGTATGGTATAATACATAAAAAACTAGATATATGTTGGCAATTCGTATTTAAACTACAAATTAATAGTTGATTGGTTAATCCAGTTAATAGGCCGATTCACCGATTAATCACTATTCCCAAGCTGACCGAGCAGCTATCAGTTACCGATTTCCTGAACAATGGCCATGACACGGTGAATATATCAAAAGTATTCACGCAAATAAATAAATAAATAAATAATGAGCTAAAGTCCATTCGAGGCACACCTAGTCTCGCCAGCGTCGGACCACTGTCCTCTCCTCCTCAGGTGCGATCTGGATGAGGAGCAGAGACCAAAAAGCAGTCGGAGATATGAGCTAATGTGGGAAAGATCTCCGGCGTTGGAAGACATAATTGCCAACTCCTGGACAAGCAAAGGTACGAAACGGAACCTAGCTGATGTTCGGGAGGCCCTCGCATCAGTAATGAATGACTTGCATGTTTGGAGTAATAAAACATTCGGCAATGTTACGAGAGAACTGGAGAAATCACGGTCACGACTGGAGGAGCTCACTCATATGAACGCCGACCGGCGGGAGATAAAAGCAGAAATGGATAAAATGAATGAATTACTATATAGAGAGGAGATGTTGTGGCTTCAGAGATCGAGAATTCAGTGGCTAAAGGAGGGCGACCGGAATACTCAAATGTTTCATCGTAAGGCAGTGTGGAGAGCTAGGAAAAATAGAATAAAAAGTCTAACAGATGAGCAGGGTGTGGTACACACCAAACAACATATGATGCTACAGCTCGGTAATACTTATTTCTAGAATTTATTTTCAGCTAACCCTCTGCTTGATCCTGGAGATGTGTTACAGCTCATTCAACACAAGGTATCCAGCGCAATGAATGACGAATTATGCAGAGAGTTCACGGACGAGGAGATTTTCAATGCTATGTTCCAAATAGGGCCGTTGAAAGCGCCCGGACCCGATGGTTTTCCAGCTAGATTTTTTCAGCGACATTGGGCGGTGTTCAAGATTGAGATTACAGCTGCTGTTAAGTTGTTTTTTGATACAGGGGTGATGCCTGAAGGAGTGAACACCACCACCATTGTACTAATCCCTAAGGTTGACACCCCAACTCGGCTCACAGATTTCCGACCGATTAGCCTCTGTAATGTGATTTATAAGGTCATTGCCAAGTGCCTAGTGAACAGGCTACGACCTATGCTGGATGAGCTCGTATCCCCGGTGCAGAGCGCCTTTGTACCAGGGAGGCTAATCACCGACAACGCTTTAATTGCCTTTGAGTGTTTTCATGCAATAAAACAGGAAAAGGATCCAGAGCGGAGTTTTTGTGCGTACAAGTTGGACTTATCGAAGGCATATGACAGAGTGGACTGGGTGTTCTTGAAGCGAATGATGCAACAGTTGGGTTTCTCTCATCGGTGGGTGTCGTGGATAATGGAGTGTGTCACCTCGGTGAGATATAATGTGAAAATCAATGGAGCCCTCTCGGATTCGTTTGCGCCGTCCTGTGGGTTACGACAGGGAGACCCCATCTCGCCTTTCATATTCCTTTTTGTCGCTGATGGTTTGGATGCTTTACTGAAACAGGAGATTGAAGCTACCCGTATCTCGCCGCTGCGTGTTTGCCCTCAAGCCCCGGGCATCTCCCACCTCTTATTCGCGGGCGACACACTTTTGTTCTTCCGAGCTAATGCAGTGGAGGCTGCTCATGTGAGGGCCGTTCTTGAGAGGTATGCAGCAGCGACCGACCAGATTGTAAACCCGAACAAGTGTTCCATTATGTTTGGGCCAAGCTGTTCGGAGGTGAACAAACAGGAGGTGATGCACACTTTGGAGGTTGTCAATGCGAGCTTTGAAGAGAAGTACCTTGGTTTTCCTACTCCAAATGGCCGGTTATCTAAAGGGAAATTGAAGAGCGTTCAACAGCAGCTTACCAAGAGAATAATCCAATGGGGGGAGCTCATGTCTCAGGCGGGAAGAGAGGTCCTTATAAAGGCCGTAGCACAAGCCCTTCCGACGTTCCTTATGAGCATTTTCAAGTTCCCAAGAAGCACATGCGATGACCTTGCACGCATGATCCGTAGCTACTGGTGGGGCGCATACAGAGGGAAGAGGAAGACGCACTGGAAGGCTTGGGATCACTTGCTGCGGCCAAAAGCTGCTGGTGGGATGGGTTTCAAGGATTTTAGGATGTTCAATCAAGCCTTGTTGGCAAGGCAAGCTTGGAGATTGCTGGTCAACCCTGAGAGTCTCCGTGCAAGAGTCTTGAAAGAACGTTACTATCCCAATGGACGGCTAGAGGACACGGTTTTCTCCACAAATGCCTCACAAACTTGGCAGTCCATCGTCCATGGGTTGGAGCTTTTGAAACAAGGCCTGATTTGGCGTATTGGTAATGGCAGATCGGTTCGCATTTGGAGGGACCCTTGGATCCCTCACCCCACTGGTCGCCCTCTAATATCGCAACAAGGTAGATGTATACTGCGAAGGGTCAGCGAATTACTTGATGAAACGGGTGCATGGCGGCCAGACTTACTGCAGCAGTACTTTTTGCCTGTTGACGTCCATCATATCATGAAGATAAAGGCCTCTCCACGGCTAGGCGATGATTTTATTGCATGGGGGGCTGAACGTACCGGTATCTTCACCGTACGTAGTGCGTACCGGCTGGCACTCGAGGACAAGTTACGTCCCTCTTCAGTCGCGGCGAGCAGGGCACCGGACGGGTGACGTGCCGTCTGGGCATTTTTATGGAGGTGCCCTGCTCCTCCAAAGGTGCGTGTTTTTGGTTGGCGTGTGGCTACGAATGCTCTCGCAACTTGGGCAAATAAATTTGCACGCCAGATGGAGCTTACTGACATGTGCCCTCTCTGTGGTCTCGAGCGCGAGGACACGTTTCATGTGTTTTGCAGGTGCCCAAGAGCTGTTGATCTGTGGCAAGCCATGGCGCAAGTTTGGCGGATACCTGATGTTAAATCAATCCGCAATACAAGACCGGAGTGGTTCCTGAATCTCATCGCGGAGTGCGACGAGGGTGACCGCCTTAGAGTCCTCATGCTTATGTGGAGATGCTGGCACGTGCGTAACGAGATCCAACATGACAAGGCACCGCCACCCATGGAGGTGTCCCGACGGTTCCTTCAAAGCTACGTCAACTCACTGTTGGGGATCCAACAATACCCGGCCGGGGACTGGGACAAAGGAAAGATGGTCATTCAACTAGAGGGAGCGGAGCAGCCAATATCAAATGTGGACGTAAGCTGGAAGTCTCAGCGCAAGTGGAGCCTGCCTCCGGAAGGTTGGGCGAAGCTCAACGTGGATGGGTCATTCTCACACGAGGATGGAAGTGCCGGTGCCGGCATGATCTTGCGCGGGCACGACGGTGCCATCATTTTCTCTGCATGCCGTTGGCTTCGGTCATACCCGGACCCATTGCACGCTGAGTTGGCCGGGTGCACGGAGGGACTCGGCCTAGCTTTGCAGTGGACGGAGTTGCCGATTATCCTGGAGTGTGACAGTATGCAAGCCGTGCAGATGATCAAGGCAAAAGGACCGGATCGTTCCCAACATGCGATGGTGGTCTCAGAAGTAAAAAGTCTTATGGGTACAAGGGAGTGTTGTGTTACTCACATCTCTAGAGAGCAAAATAATGTTAGTCATGTGTTAGCAAACTTCGGTCGAACGGAGAACCGTACTGTGGTCTGGCTCTGCTCTGGACCTGCTAATGTCCCTAGTCTGTGTAGGGATGAATTCGTGTGCTCTTGAGTAATACAATCCTTTTACCCCCGCAAAAAAATGAGCTAAAGTCCAAAAGCCGAAAATAAGGATTTTTTTTCAAAACTATCACCTTTTTTATAGCTAATTCGGAAACTATAGTACCCATTGC